GTTTTTCTAGGAACATTCTTGTGGGGGTTCTGTAGTGGAATTCATTAACTTTCATCTTTCAATCCAGGTTATCCACCCTTCCACCCGGGGGTAAAATTACCTTTTTCTAAATGATAAATAAATTATCAGTCAAGTTTTTGTGCTCATAAAAAAAATATGTTGTCTTTTGTGTGTGGTTGAGTGATGAGGACGTGTACATGTAGTGATAAGGATGAATGGTAGACTCATTATTTCCTCGGAGGCCTTTTTACATCATATCCATGCAACTTGAAGTGGTTACTGGGAAAGATTCGGTATTACATAATTGTCTTGTCTCCATTTTTATTTTCAGGGTCGATGGTTTAACCAATTTCCCAGTCTGTTTAATAGTATACTGTTGTTTGTATTGGGACATAAAAAATCTCACTTAGATGGATTGTGCAGGATGCTACCATCGAACAACTGCTTCCGATATTCCTTTCTCTGCTTAAGGATGAATTCCCTGATGTGCGCCTCAATATCATTAGCAAGCTTGATCAAGTAAATCAGGTTTGTTGTAATTCACCTTGAAACTGAAGGGGGAGGGTTCTTGACCAACATCATAATAAGAGATGCTGTTTTATACTTCGCAAACATGCTTTAACTCTCTCACACTCTCTCTCAAAAAATATTTTACTGCCATCTCACCACAAACCTGTTATGCAGGTTATTGGAATTGATCTCTTGTCTCAATCACTGTTACCTGCCATTGTTGAACTTGCTGAGGATAGACACTGGAGAGTTAGGTTAGCAATTATAGAATACATTCCTTTATTGGCAAGTCAGCTGGGTGTAGGGTTTTTTGACGATAAGCTTGGTGCTCTTTGCATGCAGTGGTTACAGGATAAGGTTAGTGTTTCCTGAGCTTCATTAAGGCTTACCATAGTTTAAGAATGCATGAAAAAAGTAAATTTTAATGTGAATAACATGCTTCTGAGTGAATGTTGCTTCAGTTTATGAGAATATTCTTTTTGTTGAATAAGGTACGTTGCTGTTCATGAGATCATTTGATTGGTTTCTGAAGGGGATGTCCATTATACGGAATTCGTCAATTCTAGTTTCTGTGCAACTGAATCATAATGAAAGTAGCAACTGAACTATTTACTCTGGATTATTATTAGTTATAGAGAGAAAATGATCGGTCTTTGGTCATTGTTAGTTAAGAAATTAAAAGGATACAAATGTGTTTTAGTACCGCTAGCTTTCCATCTCCTGCCAAGTCCTCCATTTCTCTCTAGCCACGACAAATATGTAAACCCAAGCCCAAGCAGGAGGGCAATGGAAAAATGTCTAGTTTATATCTGGGGTCAGAAAACCAACTTGTTAATTCTCGTCCTAGCTAAGGTAGCAGACAAAATTTCCCTGCCTTGGGAAATTAACTCTTCCTAGTCAAGTTGGAGAGGCCACATATGGTTTGTTTTTTGTTGCAGTGGGTTCTTCTTGCATGTTTACTCATATGTGATCTTGCTATGGTATTTTAAAAAAATGGAAACACTAAATAAATGTACACTGTACAAGAGTGTAAGAGGATGAGATACCAAAGGCATCCTCTTTGAGACACCTAAGACATTCTCTTCTTCTTTCTTCCTCATTGTTCTTCTGCTGCTCTCTCTAATGCAGAAAAAGCTATAAAAGAATTTGACCATCTAAAGTGAAAGGAGGTGATTTCAATAGGCAACAAAGTACCGAAAGTGCACATATTAAGAAAGAATTATTTTAAAGGACAATTTGAAAGATATCATTGACTTGTTATATGTTATGCAGTTTTTTATAGAAATTTCTATTGCAATGGTTACTTCTTGCAGGTTTACTCAATCCGTGATGCAGCTGCTAACAATTTGAAGCGCCTTGCAGAAGAATTTGGTCCTGAGTGGGCAATGCAGCATATTGTCCCACAGGTTTGTTTCAAATGAATTTCACAATCACATTTAGCCTGACCTTGGTGATAGCCTAACATTGTCTTTAGATAAAGAAGTTTTTAGATAAAACATACCATCCAGAGGTCATGAAAGAATTATAACGCTAATCATTATTACAAAAATCCTTCACCCTGCCTGCTGCACACAATCCATGCACTTTGTTCTCTTCCTCTAACTGATGGGGTTTCACAAACAGGTTCTTGACATGATTAACAACCCACATTATTTGTATCGAATGACTGTTCTTCGTGCGGTCTCCCTTCTTGCCCCAGTTATGGGCTCAGAAATCACATGCACAAAGCTTTTACCGGTGGTTATCAGTTCTTCCAAGGACAGGTACAGGACATAAATTATTTTCTTGTTTTAATTAGATAGATTAGTTGCTGGCCCAAAGCCGGACGGTGGAATCATCCCTAAAAAAATGAATCATGATGGGTGTTATTGTTAGTTGGCTTGCGCCCCTTGTTAATTGTTTTATCAACCTTCTTTTCGCTCTTTTTTGGTGGTTAAGTTAAGTTTTTACAGGGTTCCAAATATCAAGTTTAATGTGGCGAAAGTGTTGCAGTCTCTCATTCCCATAGTTGACCAACCTGTAAGTAGTCACAGATGATGCTTAACTGATATCTTGATTGTTTATATTAATATTAGATAACACTTGCGATGCAGGTGGTGGAAAAAACTATCCGCCCTAGCCTAGTTGAACTCAGTGAAGATCCAGATGTAGATGTCCGGTTCTTTGCTAACCAAGCTCTTCAATCAATCGATCACGTGATGATGTCCAGTTAGACCGGGCTTCATTGCCATCGCAAACATCTGTACGAAGGTGCTTTTGCAGAAGTTGCTATTGTTTTTCAACGAAATAGCTGTATGTTTCTTCCCCCACGTTCGTTGTTGTAGTGCAGTTTGTGATGCATCTAGCGTGCAGAGTGAGCCATTGAGTAGAGACTTGATGCTTTTATTCCTTCTGCATCCTTATAATCTATAATATTCTTTCTTCATTTGTCTTTTTCAACAATGGACTCGTAATTTGGATGTTGAACTCGGGGGACTGCTATGGAGTCCCCATTTGTATCTACACTTTTTTTGATTGCCAATCTTCAATCTCTACTGTAATAGTTATCAATTTGTATTAATTATATTGACTTCAAGTTAAGATTCCGAAACCAAATGGGTACACATATCCACACACACTTGAGGACACCAAGTGAAAATACTCGTGATTAAAGTTTGATCTGATCTTAGGAATGATTCTTGCTGATTGATTTGTTTGCAGAAAAGAACCACAATTAATCCACGCTGAGAAAAAGAAAAAAAATCTCAGTAGGTTTTTAGTAGCACGAGTTTATGGAAGCTTGGTTCTTCTGGTTTTTCTTTCAATTTGTTCAGATCTCCGAACTAATTCAAATCAGAGTTACTTCAGATCAAATGCAATATCCAAAATAGTTCTGATGAAAAACATTGTCCATCTCCAACCAAACTATAATTGACAAGCAACATGGCCAAACTTTCACTGTTTAACCGTTGTAACGGTAGATTTTGAACATACCCGACAGACCATAACGAAGGGAAGCAAATTTTAACCATAGACGTATGCTCAAACAATGAAATAATAGAACAGGTTAAGAGTAGCGAGGTGAGACTTATTATTTAACTAATACATATTGGTTAAAGAGGGGAACAAAACACATTCTTTATAAGTGTGTGGAAAACTCTCTTTAGCTAGAGGGGAAGCTCGAAAAGAAAAGCTCAAAGCAGCCCAAAGAAGACAATGCTTGCAGTCAACTTGGGCCGTTACAATGACATTGAAATTCTATTGAAATTTTATTATCCAAACGGCCAAATTCTATTATCTACCATCAAACTAAATTTGAAAAAAGCGTTGATTTAAAAAAAAGAAGCGAGCTTTAAAATAACCTACACGACCGAATCACATGTTTCACCGTTTACTTCAGCCAAGCTCTTGTTCATATTGAGAGTTGGGAGATACGAATGTGAGAAGAAGATTGGAAATGATGGTTCATTCTATGAGAGGCATTGCTCATAAGATACTAATCTTCTTCCCAACCTACGTTTTTGTATTACGCTCACTTCATACAATATGCTGCAAATTTTAAAATCTTGGAAACCAGGAGATGTATTATGCTCACTTCAGTATCTGCTATGAACCGACTCGGATTAGTTCAAGCCCGACAAAACAAGTAAGACGCCTCGATCATTGGCTGGCTAATAAGCTAAAGACCAATGACTGACCATGACACAAAATGGGCACACGTCCATTTATGTAAATCTATCTAAAAAAAAAAAGAGACGTGAAGTCTTACAATGGCGGCTAGTCCTACATAAGAAAACCAATATCCATTGTCATAAAGTTGGCACTTATCCTTTGGGGAGGTGAGGGCCCAAAATTATCCTTAGTTTCACTTCATCATTCACCCTTAGTGTCGCATCAGCCATCCACTAATGTAGAGTCAGTCCCTCTTCCCAAATTGCGAGGTTTCTTTCCAGTTGTGCGTCTAAAAAGGCAGAGACTGGAGACCAAAAAAACAGGGACAATTCATTGCTACCTGAAAAGTTCAGAGCTTAAGGAAAGTACACGAGCTAAGAATCGTGAGTGAAAATTTTGACCATGTGGACACTGTTGAGGATTGTTGAGAGAGAGTCCCACGTTGGCTAATTTAAGGAATGATCATGAATTTACAAGTCCAATGGTACGAGGTCTTTTGAGGAAGTCTAAAGCAAAGCCATGAGAGCTTATGCTCAAAGTGGACAATATCATACCATTGTGACGACGGTTACCTGATGAGAAGAGTTTGAAGTGGGATTATTGTTCCAAATTTAGTGTACACAATGGAATCTATTGTAAGTCTCTCTTATCTTATAACTCATCTTCATCTATATATATGCTAACTGCTTAAGTAACATGTTTCAATTGCCATAAGATGGCTATTTGGGTCACCATGGTAGTTCATATGAGGTAGAGGAGTAGATTTAAGTCCAAGTTTAGGCATCTCAATAAGGATATAAATTGATAGAACATCCCTTGGAAGAAATATCTTTATCTTATAAGAATGCTCTCTCTTTCTGTGGGGGGGGAAAAACAATAAGTCTGAAAAAGTGTTCTTCTCTGTACAAATTCTACTGAAGCTATACACATAAGAAATCCTTGATATGACCAATCATTTCAAGAGTCCGAGTCTGTGAGAGCTGTGATTTGTTCAGAACCTGAAAGGCATGGCCAACTCCTTCATGAACCACATAATTGATCAGCTTACCCTCTCTATGTAAAGCAGAGCAGAACTCCAAGTTCCTATCTTTCAATATGTCCAATTCCGATATACATACCAAACTAGGCAAAACCCTCAAATTCTCCACCTTAAACAACCCTTTTGCCGAAGGATTGCACCAAGGGTGGTCACGGTTTGCCCCAGACGGCAATGCCAACCGCCAGTATGTATCGGAAACCGCCATCGTCAGTGCCGAACGAGGAGGTTGGACTAGAAACTTCTCTGATTTGGTCCTGGACTCCCCACCAAAAAATGGTTGTATCAAAATGTTACCTCTAATAACCAACGGCTTCAAGACCACAGCTCCAGAAGCAGTGGTCTTACCACCAAGTCTGGCGGCTACATTGAAGGCTATGTTGCCACCCGCACTATCACCACCAAGGTAGATTCTGGTAAAGTCACAGTATCTTGACCACCAATTCTGCTTGCCCCCAATAAGAGCAACTTGTTTCAACCATGAAATGGTCTTTAATCCATCTTCATAAGGAGCAGGAAGAGGGTTTTCTGGTGCCAAACGATAATTCACAGACATAATTATACACTCCGCTTTTGCAGATACCTTGGCAAGGAACTCATGGTAGCAGCTCCAAGCTGCCGAGCCGACACAAAATCCACCTCCATGGAAATAGACAAGCAAAGGAAGTTTCCCCTGGCACTGTTTTGGGATATAGAAACGAGCCCAAATGTTACTCAGCTTATTCACAACTACATCCCAAGAAGTAACACCCAGCTCTGGCGGCAATGCATTAGAGACACAGGGAACTATCTGTGCTCTTTCCACATACCCATTTCCGTAAACTCTAATGAGACCTTCAATCTCCTCAACCAACACATCATGTTGATCAAAGCCATTAACATGTTCTTCGAAACTTGGAATCTGGCCTAGGTTAATGGTAGGCATTCCGGGGATGCAGAAACTAAAGTCAAGAGGCTTTTGAGAGTAAAATTAGTTATGGGCGAAGGTATAAGCTTCTAATGTTCCTTATATAGATGATGAAAAGATGAGTATCGTGGTCTGACGTGGACAGCTATTCTATCTAGTTGGGTTTGGGGGATATTACCCTCTCTTTTCCTGCCAAGTGGGCAATTGGCTAAGTGCCACATGTTTTGACATTACATTGATTCAAGCACAATAAGCTAAAACAAGGACATGTCCACTTTTTTCTCCTTTATTTTGTAGGAATGATATATAAAAGGAAGAGGTTCACATGTTTTAGTCTATGCAGTAGTCAAATTACAATAGCAGAAAACAAAGAAAGAGAAATATATAAATAATGCAAAGAAGAATAGTGAGGCTTACAGTTCAAGAATGCAATGCTTTTCCAATCCCACTTACGACCTTTTTGAAATGGCTCACTTTGAATGCGCTTTGTCTGAAAAGCAAAGTCTGACTTAGCTTGCTTGCAATGGTGTATTCTCGGATAGGTGGGTTGTTATGGCCTACTGCCACTCCCATCAGAAAGCTCTATTATTGCGTGCTTAAAGTTCAAGCACAAGAGAAACATGTGATGTTGATTGTCTGGTTTCAATTCATCTTGACTTAGAACTCCTGTGTCTTTAAACGCTTTAAACATTAAGAAAAATTTACATCGAACATCATCATAGCATTGTCGCGTCAGTTGCACAGCTACCACAGCCACCACGGGTACCACACGCTATAATAACTGTCCCTGAACATGCACCAGCCATCACAATTGTTGCCCCCCAAAAGAACTTCGGCATGAATCATCGATCTAGCATCGCCTCTTTCTTTCGGGACATTTCACAAACACCTTGTAGACGCCTCACCTAAGAGGGAAAAAGAGAACACCACCATTAAATATTCTTTATCCCCATTAAATTTGTTGGGTGGGACCAAGAAAAGAAGGAAAAAAAAACCCATCTCCATTAAGATTCATGTGCTGTAAGTCTGCAACTATGATAATTTAAATGGTAAATGCCCCATATAGTGATCTCCAATCAAGACAGACAGACATTCACAAAAAACATAAAAAGAATATAGATATTTTGAAGTCTTCCATTATGCGTGGTTGTAAATCCCAGCTTCAAGGGTCAAACCTGACGCATCAATTGTGCGCAAGCATATGTCCGTTCTGTCCCGGACCTAATTTGAATCGTAAAATTGCTAAAAAAAAAAAAAGAAGAAAAAAGAGCGAAAATCTCCTCTTCAAATTTCGATTACACCTTTGGTGTTTGAGACAACACGATTTCCACCGAAGGCGGGGGAGATTCCCTTCGAGGTCAAATTGTGGCTCAGATTCCATTGCTTTGCTAGTGCAAAGCTTAAAGTCAAAGACCAAGAACAGTGTCTGCAAGGTTGTTAATCGTTCTTGAGTGCCCGAAACGTGGAGCCAAATTCAATTGAGTATGAATCCAAAGTGGTGTAGCGCTAGGTTTTCAAGCTTCTTGTTCATGTCTGTACTCTGTCGGAAGATCATGATTGCACCATTTCGAGAGAGAGGAGAAGTTTCTTTTTTTTGTTTTATTTCTTACGGCGGGAAAAAAAACTAAGAGAATTAAGAGACGTAACGATGTCCCTTAAAACGGCGCCGGATTTTCATTATTTATTTATTTAATATAAATGTGAAAATGTTATTAATAATTTAGTTAAAGTCGTCTTTTTAAATTAATTTTATGAATAATACTTCCATCTTTATTTTTATTATATATATGTATATATTTAGTTAAAAATAAACCAAGTTTTAAATACTAAAAAAAATAGTTACAAAAAAAAGCTTTTTATTTTTTATTTTTGTAATTTGTCTAAAATTTTAAACTTTACGTCACGAAAAATAAAAATTATTGTAAAAAAAAAAATGAAAAAAAAGGGAAAGTAGAGGACAATATCTACTATCGGCGAGCTTGGACAGAGCCAAATGGTATCAAAGCCAGACACCGGACACGTGTCAGAAACACAATTTAACTCAAACTTCACTTTTCTTTTTATTATATATATATATATATATATATTTAAAGCCATGTTTATTAAAAGTCAAGATGAGAATATGAGTTGCTACATGTCATAACTTAATGTATGTGCGGGATAAAGAGAATAGTGCATCATTCAACGAACCAAGAAAGTGTGCATCAAAACCAAGCTGAGACATAAACAAAGTTGGTAAAAACGAGATGACATGAGTATCGAAGACAAGCTCCAAAAGGATCAAATAGGACCCGACCATAACTTCATATATATTTATATATATATATATATATAAAAGAAGGTATATGGGTTAAAAAAGAAATGGATAGATATGGATAAGGGACAAAATCTAGGACATTGAAGCAAATGGGCAGCCAACTATGTTCATTCCCCAGACATTAATTCCCACTTTCTCTCATCTTTTTATCCTCATTCATTGTACCCTTCAAATAATATATATATATATATATATAGAAAAAAAAGAAAAGAAAATGGTGGTAGTTGAAAATGAAGCACCATCTCTTTTGGGAAAAGTTCGACATGTATGGAATGGATTATATTTCTATAACATATAATCCTTAATGTAAGAAAACATCAAACTATATGAAATTAAATATATTTCTTTTGATAAGAATCAAGACAAACACCTACAAAACATGTCTACCAAACTTTATATTATTTTTAAACTAATGTTAAATTAAAGCATTAATGCCTCCTACTTTATAATTTATTTATTTTTAATCAAAATATTTTCTCATCAAAGAAATGATAAGAACGATGACTAGTTTAAGTAGGGGAGAGTGTCATAATTATACTAAGAAGACAGGTTGTAACCCCTACATGCAGACGAAGTACCGACACGAAAGTAGCATGCATCCGACTAGGTGAAAATTGAGACAGATAAGTACCGTGTTGCGACCGAGGAAGACGGTGCAGCATCCAACACAACAAGAAGACAGGCTTAAAAAGGACTAAGAATGTGAGAATCCTATATTGGTTGGGAAGGAGAACGAAACACCCTTTAAAAAGGGTGTGAAAACCTTACCATAGGAGACGCGGTTTAAAGCCTTGAGGGGAAGCCCAAAAATAAAAGCCTAAAGAGGACAATATTTGGTAGCGGTGGACCTGAGCTGTTACAAATAATATCAGAGCTGGACACCGGACTATGTGCCAGCGAGGAGGTTGTTCTCCAAAGGGGGTAGACACGAGGCGAGATATGCCAATAAGAACACTGGCCCCAAAAATGGGTGGATTTGGGGGGGTCCCACATCGATTGGAGAAAGGAAAGAGTAAAAGAGTGCCAGCGAGGACACTGGGCCTCGAAGGGGGTGGATTGTAAGAGTCCCACATTAGTTGGGACGGAGAACGAAACACCCAAGGGCTTGAAAAGTGAAGCGGTGAGTCTAAGCTGTTACAGATAAAAACTCAATCATAATCTCAAAAGTCGGGTTCCGACATAAGTCGATTAGTCAAATATTCATACTTTATTGATTGGGTGAATAAGAAACTCAATCTATATAGATATTAGAAAGGCAGAAGAACAAGAAAGAAAGAGCATCACCGCATGGCGTTAACGAATCATTCCTTGCACACTGGGCGGCGGCGGCGTCGCAGCAGCACGAGCAGCAATCCTTCTCTGCCTCTCCACATTCCCATGCCATCCTACGCCCATGCACGTAAAACCCATCACTATTTCAACACACCAAATTTACCATTTAAGTTAAGTGACAGAGAAAGAACCAAATGACATGTCGAAGCCTTGGTGTTGAAGCTCCCTATACTGTTGGCATAGCGCACATTGCTCACACAAGCAGTGGACGCAGCAATCACAGCAAGGGCTCTCTTCCAACGAGAACTGTCCCCTCATTTTCGAGCGGTAAAGGCAAGAGTACAAGCACGAGCACCCCGTTAGGCATAGTATTGACAAGTAAATTGCACTGCTAACGCCACACGCTGCAGTTTTCAACACAAAGAACCATGTCAGATTTTGAATTTCTCAATGAAATTAATGAATATTACATATTGATCCTCTGTCTACTATCTCTGCTATGTGGCCGAACGTAATGCAGGGACACCAGCAAGTCAAACAGCCTACAAAAAAAACCAATTATCAGACAGACATGTTGTAATGACGGCGCAGTTCATTCAAATTTAATGGGATGGAAATGAACTTACAGATACTAACGTCGTTACAGCAGTCGCAGAGACCGCTGGACCAAGCAACTGTGGAGTGGGGCTGGGGTTCGCAGGGATTTCGGGGGTAATCGACCGGCGCCGCCATGTGGGGGTGGCTGAAATTGGCAGAAAAAGAGGGTGGTGGTGGCGGGGGCGGAGGCGGTAGGGGTGGTGCTGACGGTAAAGAAGAGAAATTGGCAAGTTTCTGCTGATCATCCATACGCTTGAAGAGTGTTCATAGAAGGGCTGTGTGTTTCTCTTTATTGGAAATTTTCATAACTGAGACAGTTCCAAAGGGGTGAAAGGGCGGTCGTGTCTATTCAAGATAACCGTTTTTACAGTTGTGAATTTTTTGATATACGAGAAGTAGTTTATATATTAATCTCCTTTCATTTCACATGGTCTTTTTAATCTACTGGTTTATGAAGTTAATGAAGTAATTGATATCCAGAAGAAGAAGAAGAAAGTTCTACTTTTGACAGCTTACGACAATGAGGTCGAACGACTTACCAAAACTGCAGCCAAACGGGGTGCTGAGGATCAACGAAGAGATCATTGCCCACCGTCAGAGAGAAATTTAGATTGGTGTGAGATCCCACATCAGTTAGAGAGGGAAACGAAGCATTCCTTATAAAGGTGTGGAAATCTCTTCCTAGTAGACGTGTTTTTATGAGGTTAGCGGCGATACGTAATGGGCTAAAGCCGACAATGTTTGCTAGCAGTGGGCTTGAGCGGTTACAAATGGTATCAAAGCCAGGCACCGAGCGATGTGCTATCCCACATTGGTTGGAGAGGGGAACAAAAACATTCCCTATAAGGATGTAGAAACCTCTCCCTAACAGATGTATTTTAAAAGTGAGGCTAACGGCGATACGTAACAGGCTAAAGCAGACAATATCTGCTAGTGATAGGCTTGGACTATCGTACAAATCTAAGTCAGTAACAGCAGCATAGAATGGAAAGTCAGTCAAAAGTTATTGGTCATGTATTTAAGCTTGGAATCTTATACTATTATACACTTGATTGATTGTTACAGTAACAAAAGTAAACTCCAAAACTCAGAACAAAAGTAGTTTTATTCAAGTGAATGAAGTTAACAAAAGGAGATTGTAAGAGGTATGAAGTTCATGCCTGTGCCAGTTCTTCTCTGCGGCTGTCGAACCGATACTGTGTTAACACTTCCCTTGCTCGTGCACTCCGATGCTGAAGGCGCTGGTGAAGCATCTCCGACATCTGGTCGAAGAATTCAATATCCCATCTGTGAATCAGCAATGGATCTTCCGCATAACAGATGTATATGGATGTAACGGCACTTTCCACGACCACTATTGCAAGGCCTGCCTGAAAATTAGAACCAAAACTTGATTAGTGAGGTTATAAACTGTCAGATCCCACATCGGTTGGGGAAGAGAACGAAACATTCTTTATTTCGCAGACGCGTTTTAAAAACCTTAAATGGAAAACCCGAATGGGAAAGCCCAAAGAGGACAATATCCTGCTAGCAGTGGGCTTGAGCCGTTACAAATGGTATCAGAGCCAAACACCGGGCGATGTGTCAGCAAGGAGGCTGAGTCCCGAAGGGAGGTGGACACGAGGTAGTGTGTTAGCAAGGACACTGGGCCCGAAGGGGTGTGGATTGGGGGGTTCCACATCAATTGGAGAAGGGAACGAGTGCTAGCAAGGATGCTGGGCCTCGAAGGGAGGTGAGTGGATTGTGAGATCCTGGATTAGGGGGTCTCACATTGATTGGAGATGGGAAAGAGGAACAGTGAGGATGTTGGGCCCCGATGGGAGGTGGGTGGATTGTGAGATCCCACATCGGTTGGGGAGGAGAATGAAACATAGGACAATATCCTGCTAGCGGTAGGCTTGAGCCGTTACAAATGGTATCAGAACCAGACAACGGGCGATGTGCCAACAAGGAGGCTAAGTCCCAAAGGGAGGTGGACACGAGGCGAGCAAGGATGTTGGGCCCTAAAGGGGGTGAATTGGAGGGTCCCACATCGATTGGAGAAGGGAACTTGGGCCTGGAGGGTGGATTGTGAGATCCCACATCGGTTGAGAGGAGAACGAAGCATTCTTTATAAGGGAAAACTCAAAGAGGATAATATCTACTAGCGTTGGACTTGGGCCGTTACAAAGGGGCTGTTACATAAACCTCGAATCATAGACTAGAATCATCAAGCAAAAAGTTGCAGAAAATTTACCATGACCATTCCCATCAATGTTGCGGTACACGCCACCATCGACACCTTATCCTTCCACTTAAACCATGTCCAAATGCCCGAGCAAGTCCCAGCAATGAGCCCGCCCATGATGGTGCTCATCAGCAGAACAGCACCTGAGCAATCATAAGCAACAAGAGTTTCAACTCCAGTTGACTGGAACAGCTCCCACGCATCCCTAGCTGAACGGTTGAAGCTTTTACCATAAACTGCTATCTGAGGCGAAAACAAGCAGGGCAACCATACTAGAAAGTCATAAAATTTGGAGTACGAATCAACATCAATTATTCGAATCGACATTAGCTAAAAGGGACTACCTGGACATACGCATATTTGTTAAAGAAACGAACAAGAGTCTCGACAAGATGAAACAAAAAATCAACACAACAAAGTAGACACTCATTCTTGCCAATCTTCGATCGAATTCCCCTGATCTAAAAAGGTAACATACAGCTTATCAACGTGCAGGGAGAGACGAAATAAAGAGCTTCCATGAGTACCTACCTCCCACCGCAGTGTCCGAATGGCTGCTGTAAAAAGAGATCCATAGCAAATGCTACCAAAAGATGTTGTCACCGCATACCGTGAAGCCCGAACCAATGACTTCGATGGCAAAGATGATGATTCTCCACCACCATGGAATAGAACTAGAAACACCATTCCAGAAACTATAACATGTAGAGTATTACAAAAAACAGCACCAACCCAGAATAAGCTTATGGAGAAAACCTGCAAATAGAAATGCCAAATCATAGAAACTCAGCTAATGTTCCACATAAAGCTACATAAGAAAGAGCAAACTTGTGAGCTCACCACAATTAGCCACCAGCGTCCACCGTCCCCCATACTCGAAGCCACGATACCAGCGACTCCGAAAGACCACACTCCCATACACAAAAGCATGACAATCATGAAAGTATACGCAACTCTAATAACTTCAGGTAGCCCGGATACCATCGTTACAGCCTTTTGCAACACTAGCAATGTAAATGGTAGTCTATGGAAGGAAAAATGCATGGTCAGAGAAGACTGCAATGATCACCTAATCCAATATGTTTTTCTTCTACATTTCTAGTTCTCATAGCACTGAGTTAAAGGGGAGAGTGTTACGAATCACAGACCTCCACAAAGGTACGATATTACGATATTATCCACTTTGAGCATAAGCTCTCATGGTTTTACTTTTGGTTTCCCCAACAGGTCTCATACCAATGGAGATGTATTCCTTACTAATAAACTCATAATCAACTCCTTCATTAGTCGATGTAGGACTCCTCTCCCAACAATCCTCCCCTCGAACAAAGCGCACCATAGAGCCTCCCCTGAGGCCTATGGAGCTCTCAAACAACTTCCCCTTAATCAAGGTTCAACTCCTTCTCTGGAGCCCTCGAACAAAATACACCATTTGCTCTACACTTGAGTCACTTTTGACTACACCTTTGAGGCTCACAACTTCTTTATTCGACATTTGAGGATTCTATTGACATAGCTAAGTTAAGGGTATGACTCTGATACCATGATAAGAATCACAGACCTCTACAATGGTATAATATTATCCACTTTGAGCATAAGCTCTCATGGCTTTACTTTTGGTTTCCTCATAAAACCTCATACCAGTGGAGATGTATTCCTTACTTATGAACTCATAATCAACTCCTTAATTAGCCGATGTAGGACTCCAGAGAAGGAGTTGAACCTCGATTAATGAAAGGTTGTTCGAGGGCTTTATAGACCTCAGGGGAGACTCTATGGTATACTTTGTTGGGGAGTATTGTTGAGGAATATTGGGAGGGAGTCCCACCTTGACTAATCTAGTAGAAGATCATGGGTTTATAAGTGAGGAATATTATCGGGGAAGCCCAAAGCAAAGCCATGAGAGCTTATGCTCAAAGCGGACAATATCATACCATTGTGGAGAGTCGTTATTCCTAACCAAAAGCAGGAGAATTTCAGAAACACGACAATAAATCAAGCTCAATCAAGCTCAAGAAGAACAAAAATCTTCATGGTTCAAGCGCGTACCTGTCTATAACTGATATAACATACAGGAACTGCAGCCCTGCACCGCTTGCAAACGCTACACCCCAGAAAAAAAGCTGACCCCAGAAGCACAATACACTTATCACAGCAAGATATGTAGTCAAAATATGCACAGAAATTTTCATTACATGATTTGCAAAAGAACCAAGCAAGAACAACCAAGTCCAGCCAAGTAAGGTTCCAACTCCACCTGCCAAAGCAAAAAGCGGCCAGTAATCCTCTGTCAATCCAACCCGATTCTCCATAATTGTATTTGTGAACTTATCGATTTGTAACCTATTGCTCTTCTTGAACCTATTAAGCCCCAGAATCACAAGCACAAATCCCACAATGATCAAGTGAATTATAAACACAATGGACCAGAAAATATCCCGCCAAGAACGTGACGATTCACTCGACAACGCTTGGCCTCGACCCCGAGCTGCATTCTGATCAGTTATCAGTAAAGTAAACGAAACCCAGTGAGGAAAAAGGCAGTAAGAACATGAAATTGACAGAACAAAGCAGATTAGTTGAATTTACCTGGACCTGATCGGCGGTGGCAACGGAGGCGGAATCCAATGAAGAAGAGGAGACGCTGCCGGAGTCGGCCATAGCGAACGGATTAACAACTAAGGAGCATTGTTTTGAAATGGGTTTGAGAAATGGAGGATTTTAAACTGAAACATAATGAGGTTGAGAAGAACGTGAAAAGTGGGTAAAGAAAACGACAGGGGAAGGGATGAAGCAGTGCCTTTTAGGGCTTTCTTTACAGAAAACAAGTATCAGAAGTTTGGACAGAATCACTCCGGACACCTCCACTCATGGACAATCAATCATGCGTTCAACTCATATTCTTTGAATCTGTGTATTCATATAAATTATTATAATAAAATCTAATTTTCCATTACCAAAATTTATGTTTTTTTTTTGTTAGTCAAACAAAAACAAAGTTATTAAAATTATGTATAGAAAATTAAAAGTCTATAAGATGGAACAAGTAATAAATGGACTAGAGAGATAGCTAGGAATCACAAAGAAGAGAGAATTATTATAATAGTAATGACCCACAAAAATTTGAAAAAGAATCATTATCATTCTAAACTAAATTTAAATATTTTTTTTAGCTATAAACACACTCCATTTTTTATTTTAAAATTTCTATGATGGAACCATAAAAAAAATAAATTAAGATATAGTTTCAGTTTATTCGTATGTTCTTACCTTGAGTTCTCGAGCTTTGGGTGAGATACCACTTTAGAAGAGCTATAATTCTAACCTTCTGTCAAGATCTACAAGCTAAGGAACGTTCTCAAATAGACCGTTTCTATGGAGCGTAGGCATTCCAAAAGGTAACAGAGGCATGCAAAGGTTTCTTTGAGCCGGACGAAGATTGACCCTCGAGTGCA